CATATTCAATAAAACACAAGTAAACATCTTTCTTGCAACCGTTTTTCAATGATCGTCAGCAAAATTTTATTGCATGTCATATTAATAACATTGTCTGACAATTTCCACATTCTTTGTGAGCATACTTCTTGAAATGAACACAGATATGGATCTCTTTCAGTCAGTTGGCCAGGTCAACTCCAAATTTCTTGGCATAGATTATTGAGGGATTTTAGTACTGTATTAGTTTATTGAAACATTTCTATTTATATTCCATCAATTCCTGGAACTTTGTTTTTCATGAATGCCTTCAGTGAAGCTTGGACTTCTTCTTTTAATATCATTGGTTCTTAATCATATGGTACCACTTGAAATGACTGAATGTCGACCAATTATTTTTGGTAAAGTGATTCTGTGTGTTCCTTCTATCTTCTAGTGATGCTTTCTGTGCTATTCTATAGTTTCCCATAGAATCCCTTAATATTGAAACTCAAGGCTTAAATTTTTTTCCCTTCAGTTCTTTCAGCTTGAGAAATGCTGAGCATGTTCTTCTCTTTTGATTTTCTAATCTCAGGTCTTTGTACATTTCGTTTCATGCTTTATTTTTCCTTCTTGAGCTGCCCTTTCAGATCCATTTGGGGTTGGTTTTTTTTTTATTACTTCATCATTTCTTCCATTCACTTTAACTACCCTATGTTTACAGCAAGTTTTAGTCTTTTCTGATATCCATTTTGTTCTTTCTTTTCTTTCCTGTTTTGAACAATGATCTTTTGCTTTCTTCATATATGATATCCTTGATGTCATCTTACAATTTACCTGGTTTTCAGTGTATCAAATCTATTCTTGAGATGGTCTCTAAACTCAGGTGGGATATATGCAAGGCTAGCAAATCTGCTGCTAAAGACCTCTTCAAAGTGTTACAGAGCAAAGGTGTCACTTTGAGGACTAAGATGTGCCTGACCCAAGCCCTGATATTTTCAATCACCTCATATGCATGTAAACGGTTAATAATAAATCAAGAAGACTAGAGACGACTTGCTGCTTTTGAATTATGATGTTGGTGAAGAATATTAAAAGTACCATGGACTGCCAGAAGAACAAACAAATCTATCTTGAAATAAGTCCAGTCAGAATGCTCCTAAGAAGCACGAATGGCAGACTTTGTCTCTTGTATGTTGGACATGTTGTCAGGAGGGACAAGTCCCTGGAAAAGGATATCGTGTGGCAAAAGAGGATCAGCAAAAGAAAGGAAAACTCTCTATGAGATGCATGATACAGTGGCAGCAACAATGTGAGGATGTTGTAGGACTGGGAAGTGTTGTATTCTGCTGTGAGCACGAGTCTGAACTGATTTGATGGCATCTAACAACAACAATTCCACCCTAATCCCCTTACAACTGATTGGGTGGTCACATCAGATCACATTATGAGCAGGACTGTGCCATTTCATAATTGTCAAATTGCATTAATACATAACTGCCAAAGTACTGCAAACATGGCCCAGTCCAGTTGATACAAATATATTTTTTTAATGTTTATTGTGAATTATGTGATAGTTTACATGGGAGAACATTAGTTTTACATTCATCCTATCATATTATTTCACTGCCATGGTTACAATCCCCTCCATGCATCATCAACCAACCAAAGGATATACTGTGCAAGCCTGTCCCCTGGTTATCAGCACACAGCTGATACACATTATTTTTGAGGGACATAATTCATTCCCTGATAGATGAGGTTGTTGTTGTTGTTGTTAGGTGCCATCGAGTCGGCACTGACTCATAATGAACTTACGACAGCAGAACAAAACACTGCCCGATCCTGGGCCAACCTTACTACTGTTACCATGCTTGAGTCCATCGAGGCTTCCACTTGGCCAATCCATTTTGCTGGGGGTCTTCCTCTTTTTCTCTGACCTTACCAAACATGATACACTTTTCCAGCAAATGGTCCCTCCTGACAATATGTCCGAAGTATGAGAGATGAAGTTTGGCCATCTTGGCCTCCAAGGAGCACTTCTTCCAAAACAAATCTATTGGCTGCACTTCTTTCAAAACAAATCTATTAGTTCTTTTGGCAGCCCATGTCACTTTCAATATTCTCCTCCAACACCATAACTCAAAAGCATCAATTCTTCTATGGTCTTCCTTATTCAATGATAGATGGGTAAGTGGCTGAAAATGAGGTACATTGGCCTGGAATCAAATGCAGGTAGGTCTTCCCCATGGGAGAATTCTAAACCTGAATCACCACCATTTCCTCCCCTCTTCGAAAATTACTTACACATTTACAAGCTTCTCCCTGTGTACTCATCTTGTCTCCCAAACGAGTAGCTATTTTCCTGGAGTAGACAGAATGAACATTGCCACACCTTTGACCCAGGAAACACCCTGCCCACTCCACCCCACCCCCCATCCCCCATTTAGCTATTCAGGTAATATAATGCCTGGCTTCTTCCCAATCCTGGGACTCTTCTATTTAAACATCTTCTTGGTTTGATCATTCCTCAGAATCATCACATGTTCTCCAGCAGCTTCAGCCCTCAGGCACACCAATAATGGAAACCTCACAACCTTCCATGGGTTCTCACTCCTGGATGTCCTAATGCCTCCTCAAGTCCACATGTTCTAAAATAAACTCAGAGTAGACTTGGGAGGTATCCCCAGTGTTTGCTCCCCTCACTGCACACACCATTCTGAAATCCACTTCCTGAGTACCCCAGCTCTTGTGTCTCCCTCTCCTCTCTTACTGGGTCATCACAGCAGCCTCCAGTGTCCTGCCTCTTTTCAACTCATCTCCACATTGCCACTAAGGTTCTTGCAACCATCCCAAACTCCGTCATAATGCTCCTCTTACAGTCCTGATTAAGGAGTGCTGGCACCCTGTGTTGGCCAGTGGGTCGCAAACTGGGCTGCTAACCGACAGGTCAGTAGTTGAAGTCTACCAGTAGGTCCACAGGAGAAAGATGAGGCTTTCTGCTCCTGTAAAGATTTATGGAAATACTACACGGGGTTGTTATGTGTCCAACCACCACCACAATCCTAACAGGCACTCCATTGCCTTAGAATAAAGCCCAAGCTCTTTAACTTGAGGAACCAGATGATTTACACATTTGCAAATAAAAGAAGGAAAGTCCAGTAGTCATGGTTAGAGAATGCCTCAGAATCCAATCGGCTGTTTGCCTGTCTAGATGTTTGGCAGAGCCCTGGAAGTTCTGGAGAATTCTCCTAACCTAAGCAGCTCTGGTAGTGTAGTGGTTATGAATCGGGCTGCTAATCTCAAGGTTGGCAGTTCGATACTACCAGCCGTTCCACGGGACGCGGGAGAAAGATGACTTTCTTCTCCCATCAAAGATGTACAGCCTCGGAAAGCTGTGCAGAGTCACTATGAGTCGGAACCGACTCCACGGTACTTAACAACAATAACATAGGAGTCATGGTGTGGCGCTGAGGGTTGATACACTGGATTGCAAGGTCGTCTGTTCAAGCTCCTCCTCGGAAACCCTACTGGGAACCTTGTTGTTGTTGTCAGGTGCCATCGAGTCGGAACCGACTCATAGCGACTCCATGCACAGCAGAACGAAACAATGTTCGATCCTGGGCCAACCTCACCACCGCTGCCACCCCCGAGTCCATCAATGATGCCACCTGGCCGATCCATCTCGTTGGAGGTCTTCCTCTTTTTCTCTGACCCTCCACCCTACCCAGCATGACATCCTTCTCCAACGATTGTTTCCTCCGGACTACATGTCCAAAGTAGGAGAGACGAAGCTTAGCCATCCTGGCCTCCAAGGAGCACTCTGGCTGCACTTCTTCCAAAACAGATCTATTGGTTCTTTTGGCAGTCCATGGCACCCTCAGTATTCTCCTCCAACACCACAACTCAAAGGCATCAATTCTTCTACGATCCTCTTTATTCACTGTCCAGCTTTCGCATCCATATGAGGCTATTGAAAACACAATGGCCTGGGTCAGGCGCACCCTAGTCCTCAAGCTGACATCTCTGCTCTTCAATACTTTAAAAAGTTCCTGTGCAGCAGATTTGCCCAGTGCAATACGTCGTCTGATCTCTTGACTGCTACTTCCGCGAGTGTTGATAGTTGATCCAAGAAGAATGAAGTCCTTGACAACTTCAATCCTTTTTCCATTGATAAGAATGTTGTTTATTGGTCCAGTGGTGAGGATTTTTGTTTTCTTGACATTGAGATGCAATCCATATCGAAGGCTGTGCTCTTTAATCTTCATAAGTAAATATTTCAAGTCCTCTTCACAATAATTCAAAACTGGGAACCTACTGGGGCACTTAACAATGTAAGACCTGAAGGGTCTCAGCTGGGAAGCAGCAGCGCATCCCGGCAGGGCTCCGGAGCTCGGGCTATGGGTTCTACAGTACCTACTGGAGGTCATCAGATACACAGGCCACCCCTCCCACTCGGCCCTAGCCCTCCAACCAGACCCCTGAGGGACTTCCCGACCGCTGTTGGTGTGCGCTTGGTTTCCCTCTAGAGGCGCATTCGGGTTGGCCGGGCGGCGCCCCCAAAGCGCCTTCAGCTGCGCGCCTAGGGCTGAACGCCAGGCTAGCTCCAGTGTGGTTACCGGGCCGTGTTGTCTGCCCGAGACCCTAGGGGCTGGACTGATGGCCCGACCTCCCGCCCCTCCCACCACCTCACGCCATCCCCACCCCATCTCCGTCCTCCTCTGTTCCACCCTCCCTGCTCTCAGGCTTGGGGAAGGGGCGTGCGGAAAGGACAGTGGCCCAGGCGGGGAGAGGGGCGGGGCCGGCAGAGGGTGGGCTCAGAGGAGGGGCCGGCCTGGCGCTGGCGCGGGTGGGGAGGCCTGTTCAGGTGGGTGCCGGCTGCTGCTGCCTGGCAGAGACGGAGACTTCATCGACCCCGACCTGCACCGACCCCTGGCTCGTGCGGAGCCTCGGGCCAGTTATGGCCACTGGCCGCCAGGGTCACCCCTGGGATCCGCCGCACGGACGCCGGGCCATTCCCCCGTAGCTGTCCAGCCAGCGGCATGGGAGGCGGTGGGTCGGCCCTGAGGGTCTGCGCAGATCACCAAGGCGGCATCAACTGGCTCAGCCTGAGCCCCGACGGGCAGCGCCTGCTGACTGGCAGCGAGGACGGCACAGCCCGACTCTGGAGCACCGCGGACGGCCAGTGCTGCGCCCTCTTCCAAGGTAGAACCCCGCAGCTGCCGCTTGTCGTCCTCCCACCTGACCCCCGCCAGGCCAGGACAGCACATGCAAAATGACATGCACTCTGGCCCACCCCCAAGCCCCTCAGCGGTGTGAGGGGTGCACTTGGAGGTGCTGCGCTGACAAGCTGCGCTCCTTCGAGGGTGGGGGGGTGGAAGGGGCTAGGGTCTCTTATTAGTCAACCGCATTCAATCATTACCTTTAAAACCACTTAAGGAACAAAAGAAATCGTTTCCGTAAGGCTTAGCTAAACAGCCCCTTCACATTTTTTACATTGGCCTTGTGACCTTTGGCCAGACATTTTCTCTCCCCTGTCCCTGTCACTTGGTAACTAGAGCTGCTACTTATCAGGGGCGTGTTACATGCTTGGACTCCTGGGTGGTACAAGTGGTTAACCTGCTCAACTGCTTACTGAAAGGTCTGGGGATGAAGAAAGTCTTCGGGAACTATTTCTTTTTTTAAAAAACCCCAAAAAACTAGCCCCTGCAAACCCAGTAAAGTATAGTTCATTCTGATGCACATGGGGTCACCGGACTTAACAACAACAACATAGATCACAGCGAGCCCTGGTGTGGTGCTGTCTGATGAGCGCTGGGCTAGTAACCAGGCTAAACTTAACGTGGGCAGTTCAGATCCACCAACCATTCTCAGAAACCCTGTCACTATGAGTAGAAACTGACTGTATGGTACACAACAGCATAGATCACAGTTTCTCAAGAAGCTGTTTAATCAATTTGTTAAGTGATGTGGAGCCGTTCCAACTATTGTTGTTGTTGTTAAGTGCCGTCGAGTCGGTTCCGACCCATAGCGACCCTGTACAGGGTTTCCGAGGGTGTAAATCCTTACGGGAGTAGAAAGCCTCATCTTTCTCCCGCGGAGCGGCTGGTAGTTTCGAACCGCTGACCTTAAGGTTCGCAGCCCGATTCGTAACCACTACGCTACCAGAGCTCTACTATTAGCAACCCTTATATAGGGTTTCCAAGGAGCAGTTGAAGAGTTTGAACTGCTGACCTTGTAGTTCAAACCAACTTTGTAGTCTAGCTCATTAGCCCACAGCGCCACACCAGGACCAGCTAGTGTAGGCTTTTTGACAAAAGCCCATAGTAAGAACACAGTGACCTCCCAGTAAGTAGGTCTGAAACTGTTTCATGAAACAGTCACACCTCTGTGTGTGATGCATCCTCATATAATACATTGTTTTCAAATACATGGTGCTGTAGGATATTGGACAGCAAGGTCGGAGGTTCAAATTCACCAGCTGCTCCTGGAAACCCTATACAGGGCCCCTATGGGTTGGAACCAACTCGATGGCACTTCACAACAACAAGCCTGCTACAGGGGCCCCTTCTTCCATGAACAGTTCCCTGATGAGGCACCCAGCTCTCTGCATTGTGTACAGCTCTACATCATGGGCTGACTTTTCCACAATAATCAGCAGATCCTGGGTGGCCTAACCCAGGCCCTTGCAGCTTATATAGACACCAAAACCAAAAAAACAAACCAAGTGCCATCAAATTCATTTCAATATTTGGCTGATCTTCTTCTTTTTAAATAAAAATAATTACAAAGCCAAACAGAATTCATTTTTGATTACCTGTTAATTTAGGAGTTAATGTGGATAAGGGAGAATTAATCACAGATTGACACATGTTCTTCCCTTATTACCCCCAACACACATGCACTCAGTTAAGACTGTTGTTAAGTACAGTCGAGTGGGTTCCAGCTCATAGCAACTCTGTATAGGATTTCTGAGGAGCTGTTGGTGAGTTTTAACTGTCGACCTTGTGGTTCAAACCAACCTTATGGCCAAACTGGTTATAAATTTTAAGTCCAATCTGCATTGCTTCCCAAACATGAGTTTTTTGTGGGACTTTCTGAAATGCAGATTCTTAGGCCCAACTCCTGTGATTCCCATGGGAGAGGCCACTAGAACTGGCATTTCTAACAAACTTCTGGGAGTATCTGATTCACAACTGGTCTGGGGCCCATTATGGGAGTCCAGCCTGTACCAATTGTCCTCTCCAGTTGAGCTGCAGACTTTTCCAGACTCTAACCTGTGGGCACCTGCCTCTGCCCACTCTTGCTCAGTTCTCCTCTAACCTGTATCCCCTGTCCAGTGGCTGGTATTGCACACTCCCCACCTCTGTCCTTCCATACCCCTGTGGTGGCCTCATAGCTGCTATCCCATTAGTGCACAGAAACCAACCTCCCAGTGAGGCCTTGCAGCTCCCCTATTGAGACCACCCCACTCAGCAGGAAAATGCTTCTACTAAATTTTGTCTGCTACTAGAGGGGTTGGAGTCCTGGTGTGGCACTATGGATTAATGTGTCAGAATGCAAAGCCATTTGAACTGCAAGTTCGGCAGTTCAAGCTTACCAGTGCTCCTCAGAAACCCTATACACGGTCGCTATGGGTCGGAATCGACTTGACGGCACTTCACAACAACAACAACAACAACAACAACAACAACTAGAGGGGTTGGTACTTCAAGAAGTTTCAAGGCTATAGGGGGGAAGGCAACCTTCCCCTCTCCTGAGATAGCACTAATTGGCTTAATTTGCAAAGGAATCTGTTGTGTGCCTGATGGTACTTCTGTGTGAACCCTTCAAGGAGGCCAATGTCTTGCCAGCCCCCCTCAAAATAATGCTTTTTGTATCAGCAACAAATTATTAATGTGTGATGCTGTAGAATAAGCAATGAACAGCTAAGTGCAAGATCTGCAGTTCAAACCCACCAGTTGCTTCAAGGAAAAAGATGAGGCTGTCTGCTACTGTAGATTGACTGAATCGAAAACCCTGTACGGGGTAACAGGGAGTCAGAATCAACTCCGTGGCAGTGGGTTGGGTTTGCACTTAATATTTGTTTAGGTCCCTAAGTGGCACAAATGGTTTGTACTTGGCTGCTAACCAAAACATTGGTGGTTCAATCCCACCCAACAGCTCTTGGTAATCTGTTTCCCTTTAAGATTACAGCCAAGAAAACTCTATAGCACAGTTCTACTCTGTAACACATGGGGTCAACATGAATCAGAACGGACTCTACAGCAATGGGTTTCGTTTTGTGGAGCATCTGTCTAGTAATTTCTATGTTATTATAGCCGTCTATACGCTTAGTTATGTTAATAAGCTCTGTCTGTTACTCACTTACAGATGAGAGCAGGCAAGTACAGATCTATTGATTTACCACATGGTATCCTGGTGTAGCGCTGTGGGTTAGTGCACTGGACTGCAAAGTCGTTTGAACCAAGAGGTCAGTGGTTCAAGCTCACAGCCACTCCTTGGAAACCCTATACAGGGTCTTTATGGGTCAAACCCACTTGATGGCACTTAACAACAACAAATCCTGTGTGTTTTATAGGTATTAGCCCTGTGAGCCCTGTTGTCATCATCCTCCTGCAGGGCTACAGAAACAGAGGCACAGTGAGGTGATAAAACTGGGGTCTGAGGTCACCAGCTGGCCAGTGGAGGGGGGTGGCCTCTAACCCGCTGTGACTCTTCTCTTCCCCAGACCACAGGCTAACTCACCAATGGCAGGCTGACTCAAATCCAGTACTCTTTCCACTCCTCCCTTGTGGAAGATGCCAGATTAGTCTAGATTTGGGTGCCAATCCCAGTGTATGCTTGAGGGTTGGTAAACCCTGCACTCCTGGCTTGAGGGGTGGGGTTGGGCCCCCTGCCATCATGCTTTTGTCATCTGAAGATGAGCTTGCTCAGTTCAGGTAACAGAGGTGATAGGGGGCAGGGGTCTTTACTGTATAAAATTAAAATGATCTTTTCATTTCATTTTTCCACAAACTTTTTGAAGCCCTCTCATGATCTTACAAGGCTGTTTAGGAAAGCTTGGGACCAGGGAGTGGGATGGAGCAGACGAATGGAGGATGGATGCTTGGTAGGTGCCTTGTCTGTAACTTTGAGGCTCTGGAAGAACAGGCTGTATGACTGGAGTGTGGGCACCACAGGTGAGCTTCCTTCCACGCAGCACCTCTGCTTCTGAGGAGCTGGGAACACGCCTGTCACTTTTCAATAGAGGTAATATACGAGGGCTTCAGAAAGTTCCTAGGAAAATGGGATTCAAAGATTATGAAGTTTTCCCAAGAACTGCTTTAAGCTGACTGTTATATAACAAAACATTTGTCATTTAAAACATTTTTATGTTTATTTTGCTGACATTAAGTATATTCACCATGTTTATAACTGTCACCACTTTACATCTCCAAATATTTTTCATCACCCAAACAGAAACTGAGCACCCTGTAAGCAATAACTCCCCCATTGCCCACTCCCCTTAGCGCCCTGCTCACCACTAATAAATGGCGGTGTCTACACTTAGCTATTCTAGATATCTCATGTAAGTGAGATCAGAAAGTATCTGTCCTTTTGTGTCTGACTTAATTTCACTCAGCATAATGTTTTCAGCATCCATCCATGCCACTGTATGTATTAGAACTTTCTTTCTCTTTTTGACGAAGTGGTGTTCCACTACATTTTGGTTTTGTTTATCCATTCACCTATTGATAGACACCTGGGTTGTTTCTACCTTTTAACTGCCGTGAATACTGTTGCACTGGCATGCATCTATCTGAGTGTTTGTTTCCAGGTCTTTGAGATGTATACTAGGAGTGGAATTGCTGGATCATATGGGACTCTTAGCTTGGTGTTATAGGATCAGCACTGGACGGCAAACCACAAGGTCAGCAATTCAAACCCACCAGCAGCTCCTCGGAAACCGTATGCAGAGTTGCTATGAGTCAGAACTTACTCTATGGCACTTAACAACAAATGGTAGTTCTTTGTTTAACTTTCTGAGGAACAACCAAGTTGTTTTCCACAGTGGTTGCACCATTATACAGCCTCACTCGCAATGATGTGGGTTTCTAGTTTCACCACATCCTCACCAACACCTGTTATTTTCCATTTTTCTGATAAGAACCATTCCTAGGTGACATTAACAGTTAAGCTCTCAACTTCTAACTGAACGATTG